ATATATCACTTATATGATATATATATGATCTTTGGAGGACAATTAAGGAAATTTGGATATGGATTAAATATTAGATGGTATTAAGGAATAATTGCTAAATCATAGGGTCAAAATGATAGACCATAAGAGGAGAATGTAATTATTTTAAGATGATGCAGTCTGAAATATTTAGGATAAAGTTTTTGATGTTTGCAACTTATTTTCAGTTTGGCAAGAAAGAAATATTTTTATACATGTATAGATAAAGCGAAATTACTAAAATAATTAACAATTCAGTCTAAGCACCCTAGTGTTCATTGTACTGTTCTTTCAACTTTTCTGTATTTTAAAACTATTCACAAATGAAGTTGGGGAAAAAAAGAAAAGATCTGACTGTCCGCACCATAATCTAGTGGTTAATTTTTCACATGATTGATAGGGAGACATTCAGATGTTATATACCTCTTGATTGAACAGAATGAAATATGCTAGTCATCTAGCCAAACAGTAAAATAGGAGATAAAATGATCACCTAAAGGACACCATAAAGAAGCAACCAGAGTGGCACCTGGCTGGCTCAGTTGGTGGAGTATGCGACTCTTGATCTTGGAGTTATGAGCTCGAGCCCCATGTTGGGGGTAGAGATTGCTTAAAAATAAAATTTTTTTTAAAGATTTTATTTATTTGAGAGAGAGAGAGAATGAGAGAGAGAGAGAGAGCATGAGAGGGAGGAGGGTCAGAGGGAGAAGCAGATTCCCCGCTGAGCAGGGACCCTGGGACTCCAGGATCATGACCTGAGCCGAAAGCAGTCGCTTAACCAACTGAGCCACCCAGGCGCCACTTAAAAATAAAAACAAAAAATGTTTAAGAAGCAACTAGAAAAATTTAGAAGATGGGATGATCTGCAGGATAGATACCCACATCTCTTTTTTTTTTTTAAGATTTTATTTATTTATTTGAGACAGAGAGAATGAGAGAGAGAGAGCACATGAGAGGGGGCAGGGTCAGAGGGAGAAGCAGACTCCCTGCCGAGCAGGGAGCCCGATGCGGGACTCGATCCAGGGACTCCAGGATCATGACCTGAGCCGAAGGCAGTTGCTTAACCAACTGAGCCACCCAGGCGCCCCAGATACCCACATCTCAACACATTGTTGTCATGAAAAAAAGGGATTACTTTAGATTTAAAGAGACTTAAAATACATAATCAGAATCAATACTTGTTTCTAGATTGGACCCTGGTGTAGACAGAGAAGCTGCAAGGACCTTTTTGAGACACCTGGGAAGATTTGAATCCAGGTTGAGTATTAGATGAAATGAAAATGTATTATCTTGGAAGGTGAAGATTGTTGTTGTTTTTTTTTTTAAAGATTTTATTTATTTATTTGATAGAGACACAGCGAGAGAGGGAACACAAGCAGGGGAAGTGGGAGAGGGAGAAGCAGGCTTCCTGCCGAGCAGGGAGCCCGACTCAGGGCTGGATCCCAAGACCCTGGGATCACGACCTGAGCCGAAGGCAGACGCTTAACGACTGAGCCACCCAGGTGCCCTGGAAGATAAAGATTGTTAACTGGAATAAAGCAATACGCACAGTGTAATCTCACTTTGATAAAAAAAAGTATATTTATATATGGAAGATATGATGTGGAAGGATAGTCACCTGTTACATAATTGTTATATAATCTCTGGAAGGTGGGAATATACTTTTTTTTAAAAAAACTTTTGCTTAGTGAGGCACCTGGGTGGCTCAGTCGGTTAAAGGGCTGCCTTTGGCTCAGGTCATGATCCGAGTCCTGGGATCAAGCCCCACATCGTCAGGCTCACTGCTCAGTGAGCAGTCTGCCTCTCCCTCTCCCTCTGCTGCTCCCCCTGCTTGTGCTCTCTTGCTAGAGCTCTCTTCCTCTCAACTAAATAAATAAAATCTTTATTTTTATTTTTTTATTTTTTTTAAAGATTTTATTTATTTATTAGAGACAGAGAGACAACGAGAGAGGGAACACAAGCAGGGGGAG